GTTCGGAGCACTGCATGGGGGGACCCTGAGGGCCAAGAACCCTAGAACTCTAGAAGTACAGCAGTGGCATTGTGCAGTGTTCCTCTTTTTTAATGATCTGCCAGGCCTTTACTGCAGCAGCTTTCAGTTGCTGTTTGTTTGTGGGCCTAACCCTAAAGTTTAGTCATCAACAAGTGCATGCTCATTTGGGTTAAGACCAGGTGACTGACTTGGCCATTCAAGAATATTTGACTTCTTTGGTTTAATAAACTCCTGGGTTTCTTTGGCTGTATGTTCTGGGTCATTGTCCATTTTTATTATGAAACACTGCCCAATCAGTCAGACACAGTATGTCTCTGAACTCCTCAGAATTTGTTCGGCTGCTTCTGTCCTGTGCTACATCATCAATAAACACTAGTGTCCTGGTGCTACTGGCAGCCATGCACACCCAAGCCATTGGGCTTTGGACCATGAGCTGTTCCACGCCTTCTCCATATTTTTTTCTTGGCATCATTCTGGTAGAGGTTAACCTTGGTTCCATCTATCCAAAGGATGTTTTTCCAGAATTGTGTTTTGTGGTGCTGACTTCATCGGTGCTTTCTGTCTTTCTTAGAATGTAACAAACGCTGTATCAATGCTGTATCAATTTCTCAGAAGGGTTTTTTTCTGTTTTCTCAGCTTAAGGGTCGATCGTGGCTCAAGAGTTGGGAGTTGGGAGTTCGCCTTGTAATCGGAAGGTTGCCGCTTCGAGCCCCAGCTTGGACAGTCTCGGTCGTTGTGTCCTTGGGCAAGACACTTCACCCGTTGCCTACTGGTGGTGGTCAGAGGGCCCGGTGGCGCCAGTGTCCGGCAGCCTCGCCTCTGTCAGTGCGCCCCAGGGTGGCTGTGGCTACAATGTAGCTTGCCATCACCAGTGTGTGATGGGTGGATGACTGGATATGTAAAGCGCTTTGGGGTCCTTAGGGACTAGTAAAGAGCTATATAAATACAGGCCATTTACCATTTTACCATAAGGGTGGCTTGTTTCACCTGTATGCAGAGGTCCTTTGACCGCATGTTGTCTGTTCACAGCAAAATCTTCTAACTCAAGCACCACACCTCAAATCAACTCCAGGCCTTTTACTGCTTAATTGATAATGACATAACAAAGGAATTGCCCATACCTGCCTATAAAAAAAAAAGGGTGGCACATGTTAAGGAGCTGAAACTCCTAAAACCTTCTTCCCATTTGAATGTGGGTACCCTCAAATGAAAGCTGAAAGTCTATACATCATCATGTCCATGTCTATTATATAACTATAATTGGAATATTTTTCAGTAAACGTGAAAAAAACAACTCTTGGCTGCTCTGAGGTCTGTTTCATTGTGATTTCTTAGCAGCATGTGGTGAGCGCCTATAAAAGCTGAATAACACCGTAGGTGGTTGAAAAACAGGCCTCAATCAGATAACCTTAGAAGAAGCCAGTGCTTTTCAAGTCATGCAACACACCGCATATATACATGTATGCACAAGGTCAGGTTCCACGTAGGTGCAGTCAGTACAGATAGGCTAAGTGTGTGTTTAACTAGAGAGAGATGTGAAGGCAAGCGATAACCTGATAACCTTGACTGGTTTGCATTGTTCACCCTAAGGCACAAATTGTATTGTTTTTGAAGTACCTTTGTGCTTGTAAAAATGCTTGCACCTGGACGCACATTCCTCGCTGACAACAACAGTGCGGCCTTCTGAGATTCTGTGCATACCTCTGCACTTGGTGACACACACACACAGAGTATGTGCAGAGGCGTGTGAAAGCCACCTGTGGCAGCTCTGCGGTCCAGCCCCTGTGGAACGTGAAGGGAAGACCCAGGAATAACTTGCTGTGTGGGACTCAGCTCGGTATGTTGCCACTGCCGCCTGCGCACAACCCTCCAACCCCCTCTCTTCCGGCAATCAGCCCCTCGCCACCACATGGACGGTGACTGCTGCGGTTTTCGCTTATAACAGTTTCCCACCTCCATCCCTCCACAATCGTTCCTTCCCAACACCCTACAAAACTACACACCACAGCTAAAAGCAGACGTCAAACAGGATTAGGCTGATGAACAGTGTTGTGGGTTTGAAGCTGATGGTAACTTTTCCCAAATATGACAGATAACAAATGCAATCAGGCAGTAAAATTTGAAGCAAAATCACAGTTGTTGTTTTTTTAATATGAAAGATATACAAATGAGTGTGATATCATCTTTAAACCAAGAGTAATCAAACAGGTGGCATCAAATGAGTTCAATTGCTGGTGATCCCCCTGCTTGCAGGTGTGTTTATTGTGCTTTTTAGTTACCGTCAGCTGTGTAAATTAGATTTTCTTTTATCGCTTTGTGATTTGAAAACACAACGAGTCATAAATGCACACACATTCACACAGGTTTAGAGCCTAGCCAGGCAGGTGGGTTTGTGTTAAAATGCACCAACAACATTACTGTGTGTTTCCTAGAGTGCTGGAAATGTGTTTTTCATGTTGCTTGGCGTTGGCAGAGGGGCCGGTCAGGAGCTTCGGGAGTGTTCCCAGAGGGCCGCGTAACTGTTGAGCTGGTGTTCTCATAAACAAAATATGTTCATTAAACTCATCAGGTAAGTAAGGGACGTGTCTCACTTTACAGGGTTGACACTGCAGCCTTTGTAGAATTGCAAAGGGAAATCGCCCTCTTCAAGTTGGTCCAAGTTGTCATTATCCTTTCTCAAGAGGTCATAGGAATCCACGTCATCTGCTGAGAAAATTACAAGTGTGGCATTTATTATCGACGAACTGAATTTATAGTTCAAGACAAATATCAATCTTTAAAGATTTTTTAATCTAGTTGTCAGGATTTCCTAAAAAAACAAGCTCATAGTAGTGAGTGAAATTCAAGTGTTTAGCTGTTTATTCTGCCAATTTCCTTGAAGATTAAATTAAACATTATTCCAGTAGACAAAGTATCTCAATAGTTTTCTGTGGTTATTCTTGCACCACATAATAACCTTAGATTTGCTTGATGTTGCTTGCTGGACTAGTACCAACTGCAGAGCAACTGCACCCATTGAGTTTTTCACCTGAATTATGCTCCGTTGCAGACATGTACAGCTGACGGCCAATTATTCATTCCTGTTATAGTTCTTTGAAATCTGCCACCTGGAGCGTAGTGTAGTTGGTGCATTGCGATGTAAATTATCTGCAGACAAGTCCTTGTGGTCTCAGGAAACAAACAGACTTCACGGACGTTCCTGCAAATGCTTGCACTCTCTATCCATTACTTGGAGCTAAAATCAGACTGTAAACAACTCTTCTGTGACCACATGGCAGCTGAGTTCGGTGCACAACGTTTCTACCTGTGTTTTGTAGCTTTTAACACACACACAGACACACAAACGCATGCATATACATCACTGAGGTTTGGAGTCTTGGACTCTGGCAGACAGGTGGCTTTGTTTGGAAACACAGTGTGCAAGCTAAGGGGGGGGGCACTAATCATTATTATGCTTTCCGCAGAACGGTGGCGCTTTTTTTTTTTTTTTTTTGCCATGTTCCTGAGTTGGTCGGCACATTCCGCTGGCATTGTTATCCGGCCTGTTTCCTGCGGCCGGCGGCTTTTGTCAGCCTCTCCCCCATTGTCTCGGCTTCCTTTGTTCCCCGGCTCCAACAATGGCTTTTTTTCTGCCTCTTTATATATATGTGCACTTTTTGCCCTTGTGTGTTCTGTTTGTTTTGTTCTGCTGTCTGCTGTGTTTTTCTTTCCTCCTGCTGTAGAGCTGGGAAATAACACACGTATGCACACAACCCTGAGTTGATTTGTTCAAGTTCACTCTGGTTCAAACCTCTCTCACTCAACCTGTCCCCTCTTCAGTTTTCTGCTTTTCTTCCTCACTGAGGCGTTGTCTGTCTCCCTCCCCTATAACCTCTCATTATTCACTGTCACAAACTGAGGGAGACACACACACACACACTTTAACACAACCACCACCTAACTCTCAAAACTGAATTCAGGAGTCACCTTTTTTTCTTAAATTTACCACCTCAAAATTAGGGTTTCCTTTAAGAGGCAGAAATGTCACACATTGATTTAGCTATTTGTAGCAATTATTAAGTTATAAGCAGGATATAAGCAAATTGTATCTAATTATGGAAAACCAATAAGAATCTTTTTTTTCTTTTTCTTTTTTACAAAAGTCCTTCTTAAAATTTTAGATATGCTAAAACTTGCAAGAGTAATAAAAAAGTACATATTTCGATTGCTTAGAGTCAGGGTTTAGGGTTAGGGATATCACTAATGATGACTTAAACCTTGGAGGGATAATGTGAGGTACTACTGATGTGTAAGGCTGTCCTGATACTGTTTTTTGGGCTTGGAAGATGTGCCTGATGAGCATTGGGAGAGACTGGGTGCTGACGGAGGTCAGGCAGAATAGCTGACATTGTAAATGTCACAAAACAAACCAACGAACAAAAATGAATATCCAAAACCCTAAATGGCAACCAAATGGTTTGGCTATCTGAGAGGTAGAATATTTGTGTGCATGCCTGTAAAAGTAACAGCAATCAAAATAATGGGGAAACAGCTAAACCGAATTATTTTTGGAGTAAAAGATCGCATAAGTGTTGGTATCCAGTATAAATGCTCATAGTACTCATTATTTATTATTTACAGCTTACACCTCTTTGCTTTAATCATGCTCTATAGCAGTATTTGATTACAAACTTCTGTTTAAGACCATATTGTTTATTTTCCCTATGACCGTTCATAAAGCTTCATAGTTGTAAGAGTCTCTAGCCCAGTTGCCGACACACCTCTAAGGATTCCTTTTTCGTCCTTAGCTTTAGTCTAAATAAAATATCTGAACAGCAAGGGATGAAATTTTCCACCAACAAATTTTCTATTATTTTTTCTTCTTTGCTGTCAATATGTTTACTCCCAAATCTAGAACTGGGAGATGATTACCCAGTGCCCAAACCTCACCACACCCAAATGACAGCTAGTATTGTGTATTTTTTTTTGTCTTTCAACAGAATGGTTGAGCCCAGCCCTCCAGCACTTCACATTCACTCCAGTGGGGATGTCAACATGGCAGGCGTTGGTGTCAAAGTAGAACGTGAAGACTCTGGGGGAGGGGCTGCAATGGATACCAGCGGCGAACTTCGTAAAACGTCTCCTTCGCGTGATTGGTCAGGAACTCAGCCCCTCGAGGCTCGCCAGTTGACCCCACCACTGTCTCGCTCCCCTTCAGTAAGGATTACGAAAGGCATGACAGGGAATTTTAGGAAGTCAACAATGTGTCATAGATTGGTATATCAAAATATAAAGTATATTTGCATGTTCTTGGTGAGATTTTAATTGAGGTTCTCTTTTCTGTCCTGACAGGAGGGATCTCCAGGGAAGGACCTGCCTCACAGACAGAGCCCCATGGGACTGAAGGAACCTAGGATGCATGATCGATCAGAGGGACAATCCAACTTGAAAGAAGGTCTGTCAAAAGCAAACGCCATTTCAAAACTTTATTTACAACCACAGAGGTGCAAACCGAGAGTCAGTTCTGTCTGCCATGGTGTTGATGTTCATTAGCCTATTGAATGAATACATATTAATAATATGTAATTATAGGATTCATTGCTAGTTTTATTATTTCTTGATTGTTTGATTGCGTGCTGTTTTTAACTCAAGAGAAAGTTTTATTTGTATCATACTCTTATTTATAATTTACTTGGTGACTGACTGTACCATTATGGGTTGATGTCTTGTGCTGGTTTTATCTGTAGACCCCCAGTAGAGTTGTTGTTGCTGTAGCAACAGCTCACAGGGATCGGAATAAAGAACAAAGTCAACCTCCCAAGAAGGAAAGAAACTGTCCTGCTATTAGGAGCAATTTGGGGTTGAATGTCGAGTATTTACCAGGAGCATTTCATTTAACAGGGTGGCCCTAATGGTAGTCATTGAAACTTGCTAAGTCAATTTAGCAAAGTACTTTATACATACATTAATTTTACTTACAAATGTTCTGCAAAGAATATTTTCCCAGTTTTATAAGAGACAGCACAAATACTCGCAGACAGCCAGATACCGACAATTAGATGATATCATTGTCACGCATGCCTACAAGCATGAGGCCTGAAGGTATAAGCTTAGCAAAACAAGCTTTAGTCACTGACATGTAAAGTATGTCATTTTTGACTCGTGTTTTATGCAAATATTGAATGTGTGTTTTGCTTGTATAATGCCAGTTTACAGCAACAGTCGTACGGTTAGTAGCCAAACCAGGATTAGACAACTGTGGGAAGGAAGAACTCAATTTTAACAGGAAGAAACTTATAATATATTATTATTAATTATTATTATTAATATAAAACCAGGCTCAGGAAGGCATAAATACTTAAGTTCATTAAAATTGTCAGTTGTGTATCTTGAGAGTAACGTTTTAGATCCAAGCTGTTTGGATGTTAGCATGTAGTCGGATTGGCACTTAACAGTTTTGCCTCAGTATTTACTGGATTTCAGACAGTATCAATTCAGCCCTCAGCCTTTCTCTTTTCTGCACCTCAGTGTTATTACCTTCTGTGGGAGTCTTTCTCTCTTACTCGCACACACGTCCATATAATTTTCCCATCTCAGACTTTGATGACTCCATATCTTACGTGTTTGAGAGCGCTACATTCTGCTGCTATTCAGCATTAAACAATGCAGTCTGCTTAAAATCGATGTGTGGAAGTGATGGTTTGTCTCACAAAGCGGGGGTGTTGTTTGGATTCCTGAACGAGTTCAGGGGCATTTTTTTTTTTTGTATATGTGATTGTGTTCAATTTCTTTGGTAGGGAGTGAAGGGCTTCTCTCTGAGCCGCGTGCAAGACTCTCGTTGCCCTCTAGTCTTTAACCAGCCTGCACTCCTTGCCTTAAATCTTTCTCAAATTTGCTCCAGTCACTGACCTTGAATTGTTCTCTGTCCAAATATTGATCCACTCAAACACTCAGAACTTCTCCCTGATGCACAAACAACCTCTGCCCTTCGACACCTCAAACGTCTTCTTCAATCAATGCCATTAGAAAAGCAGAAGAGAGGCTCAGAAAGTAGTTTAGTGTTAGATGTATTTTATTTGACAGAATATATTTTTCACGCCATCTACTGCTGCCCACTGCGGTCCCGCTGAGTACCATTTGTGTTCTCTTAACAGTGATGCCTACCATTGAGAAGCTGCTGAATGCTGACTGGAAGGACAAACTCCTGGATAAAAGCACAGTGGGGTCAGGACAGCTGAAAGGTTAGTTTCAAACACTACAAATGTTGTACATATACAATTAGACCGTATGAATTGCAGCTTTTCTATTCTATTTCTCATTTGTTTTATCAATTTAAAAGCATCATATATAACAGCTTGGTGCATACAGCAGCATGTGGCAAACCATTGGTTTGACATTTAGATGGAAGATATGTAGATATTTCTTCTTCTACCTCTTTTTAAAGGTAAAGCATAACCAGTGTGTGTGTGAAGGCTTAATTAACCCTAAATTTTCACCCATGCGAAAGTGAATAGAATAGAATACAATAGAATAATCCTTTAATTGTCCCACAAGGGGAAATTTTTCTTACATATTTACATTAAGGACAAAGTGTAGTGATGGCGTTACAAAACTCGTGTGTGTGTTCTGGGGTTAACAATGTAATATTTATCATATGTACAGTGATAACACATACACACACCAGTGAAATCCAGTGCTGGCTGTCACTGCGCCCGTCTCACTGATATAACCACACTCACAGCACATGTGTGCTGCTGTTATCTCAATCATTTCACTGAATTATTTGATCCCTTTTTTTAGTATTTGTTTGCACATGAATGTAATGATTATCATAAACCCACATTTGCTACACCATGTTTACCACTTGGTAGAACTGAGCAGAGAGATAGCAGACTCTAGCTGCTTGGCAGCCCCGGGTCTTCTTTTCAGCATTTTTTGTTTCACCTGGAGGCATTAGTTGTGCCTCTCCAGATGTGCAAACTGATAAATTCACCTCTGTGCCATCAGGGATGCAAACTTTTCAACTGCTTGCTCATAACAAGCTGGATGGTCCTTCTCATTTTTAGACCAGAGGAAGTGGCATTTGTGATTTTCAGAATTTCGATTTGTCTGATCTAACAACAGTTTTGCGCTTTGCTTCAGTCCAGCTTCAGAAGGCCCGAAGATAGACGAGCATTCAGAGGTGGCCTCCTGCCTTGTCTCTTGTACACAGAGAATCCTCCAGAATCGCTGAATCGTTTAATGATATTATGTATATTTATAATCTTTCTGACTTTGCATTCAGAAACATTATTCTGAAATCTGTAGCTGCAGTTTTTTTACAGATTTGTTATCCTCTGATGTACTTCTTGGAATCTCTGAGATGCTCCTTGTATAACCAGTCATGTTACTGACCTCCTGCCAGTTAACCTAACTGGAAAGTGCTTCCCCAGCTTTGGTGCTCCCATCCCAACTTTTTTTTGAGATGTGAGATATTTTGAAGTTTTACAGTTTCTCAGCGCAGACATTTAATGTGTCTCTACAGTGAATAAAAGACAAGTTTATGAGATTTACATTTGACACATTTTTGGAATTGGCTTTGTAGTTTTTGCAGCGATGAAAGATTCATTTTCATAGTGAGGACGCGTCTGTCCTGCAAACATTATCTACAGTTTCTGATCTAAGCAGTTTGGTATAACAGCTTGTTTCTGCAAAATGGGGAAAAAGATGCTTATCAGTTTCAACCCTTTCAACATCCTTTTCTAGCAGTTATGAGATTACAAGATAGCAATTGATTTTGAAATATAGGAAACATAAAGCAACATGTTACGAAGAAGCTTCAGGTTTTTTTCTTTGAGATTTAGGTTTTTCTGAATGTGTGAAACTTGACCCACGGAGGGTGTGAGGAGATAAAAGACAAGATATTACACTTGAAAATGATCCTGTGAAAGTTAGAAAGGTTTTTGTGAGATTGAGAAGTTTGTTATTATAAAAAGATGTTTTTAAAAGAGGGAAAGTTTAACATTAAAAACTTTGCTGAAAATATTGTTTTGTGGAGGAAAAAATAACCTTTTTAGGTAATTACAAGAAATTTTTCTCAGTCTCATAAAAATGACAAAAGTTTTGTATTTTGTGAAATTTAATTTAATAAAAGCAAAAATATCTTTTTGTAAAACTGAAAAATATTATTCACCATAAAAATATGATTTTTCTTTTATAAAGAGAAGAAAAGCTTCATGTTTTGAGAAATTTTGTGGGAAAAATGGGAAAACATGAGAGGTTATATAACAAAACTGTAAGAACAAGAAGAGAATAGTATTTTTTTATCCCTCCGGTATAATAATGGTGATAGTTGGAGACATTACTAAAGCAAAAACGGAATAAAAAGGAATAAAAAAAAACGGCCTTATCCTGCATAAAAACACAAAGCCTCCCACTCCTCCCACCAGGTACCCCCGAATCTCTGGCAGAGAAGGAGCTCCAGCTGTTGATGATGATCAACCAGCTGAGTGGTCTGAGGGAGCAGCTCCTGGGAGCCCACTCTGAGCAGAGAAACATGGCCGCCCTGTTGCTGGAGAAACAGCAGCAGCAGATGGAGCTGGCTCGGCAACAGCAAGAACAGGTATCTCTACCAGATCTTTGCATCACTCACCCAGTTCAACAGAACATGCAAACATGTGGACATCTCAAAACAAATTTCTGTCTCTCTGCTGTGTATTATCTTGATAAAGAATATAAAGGGCCTTTCTGACCAAACAGACGAAAAGCCCCTGTGTGCACTGGTGCTTGTGTTCTTGCTCCATACAAACACTAGGCAAATTAGATGGCCGAAATTGAAAAAAGATCTTTGTCTAATGTGCCTTTTTTCACACAAGTCCACAGAAGGAGAGCACCGCACGCACTCGCCAGCTTTTTTCTGGGAATAAATGAACCGCCGCATGCGTGCGTCATGGCTGATCGTTAGAATTTATACAGGCTAGCGCTCACTTGTTGTGTGTCTCGTTTTATGTGTCTCAGATCGCCAAGCAGCAGCAGCAGCTCATCCAGCAGCAGCACAAGATCAACCTGCTTCAGCAGCAGATCCAGGTCAGCTCCTCTCACGACCTTTCGCACATCTTCCTGAATCACTTCAAGGAGCAGAGTGGGAGATTAATAAATGAATGTGTGAGACGGATGGGGCTTGTCTGTAACGTGCACGTGTCCTGCTCTGTCCCAGCAGGTGAACATGCCCTACGTGATGATTCCAGCTTTCCACCCCACCACCCAACCCCTCCAGGTCAACTCTGACCCCCAGATGACCTTGCCACTGCAACCGATCCCCTGCAAGCCGAGTGAGTAATCAAGTGGAAAGGTTTCAGTTTTATTATTATTTATTTTTTCATATGCAGGCTGACAGCAGTGCAGCATTAAAAGAAAGCTCGGAGCTGCTTTGTTGGGGCAGAGTTGTTGACTCAGGCTGTGGGATCTAGGAACACCGCTCTGTATCCGTAATTTTAAGGAATATCAGGCAAACACTGCAGACATTTCTAGCAATGGCAGGCAGGCTTTTGACACACTGGAAAGTTATGACGGCAACAACAAGGTAATATTCTTTCTAACATTATGTAATCTTTAATCCATCACTCATATTTAAACATGTTTGCAACCATATAAAGTAACTTTCAGAGAAGTGTCCTTTAACAAGCTCTGGGCTGACCTGTGTGAAGGGCATTCTGCCTCCACAGAGTAATGCATTACTTTATTCCTTGGGTTAAAAAAAGTAATGAATCATGTGTAATACGTTACTTTTACTGAGTAATAAACACAACACTGACACTGATGGTCCATTTTAGTCAGAGAAACTACCAGCAAATCAAAGTATTTCTGGAGGGCTCAATAAGGTCATGCTGTATACTACATTCTTCTTCAAATGTTGCTGTGACCTGCTAATAATCCTCCAAGGATTCCCTTGATTTAGTGAACACTGTGTTTTGTCAATTCATTCAAAGCCTTTTCTTATGCACCCTGTTGTGTGGGAAGAATGAACACTCTACTTACCAATGACTGCAAGCTTTGAAGGCCAGAAACTTTGTGCTGAAAAGATATCTCCATCAGTACAGCTCCATAAGTTGCCATCCCTGAGTGTTTTAAAGAAAAGCTTAAGTATGTTTATGTACTTCAACTCAGGGGCTATTTTATAGGAACTAGAAAGGCATCCGTGAGACTCCAGTGCAACAGTGCTTGAATGTACCTTTCAAACACGTATGCTTGTACAGTTAGCAGGCTATTGAGGCCACGGCTTCGAACGCCACAGCTTTGTAGAAGCTTGCTTTCACCAGCCTTAAAAGCTGTGCTTGTGGATCTTTTCAAACTTAAAGACACAAGGCCAGTCTTTAAAACAGTGTAGGTGGAATTTAAGGATAGCCATTATATCGAGAAGCGCACGTGTGCGTGAGCGGCTCTGAATGTTTTGACACATGAATGTAAAATGTGTCGGAGTGCTGGGCTGTGTAGAAGAGGTCAGCAGTAACCAGAGCGTTTTTAAAAACAATATGCATGGAGTGAAACTTTGAGCCCTTTGCTTTCATTTTGCTCAGATCTTTTATTTGTTTGGACATTTGCATGTAACCTCACGTATCAACTGGACATTGTATTTTGGGGACATTCCCTGCAACTCCCACTTGGCCATGCGCAAATTATGTTAATTCTCAAACTGTAACAAAACATCTACTGTCTCAGAATGACTGTATCACTTACTCACGTTATTATCCAACCTTAGCTGAATAAATGCTATATCACAAATTTATCTTGGCAATAGTTTGAGATTTGCCATTGGAGAGGTGATATTGCCTTATCCTCTGCACTCGATTTTCTGTATAAACAAACTGCCTTCGTATTATGGTGGATTCATGGCTAATGATGCTGGAAGTGAACATTTAAATGCTAAAATGAATGTAAGGCTGTAGGACAGGGATGTCTAACAAAGACAAAGAAACCACTTTAATTACTTTGGTGTGGCGTGTATGGCAGTGTTGGGATGGGGTGGGTTTTTTCAATAGGAAAAGCTGTAAAACTTGTGAAAATACAGTTAAAAGCCCAGAGTCTATGTCTTCCTTCACACTTTCAAAAGCCGTCCACTGGGCCAGATTAGAGTCTTTGCATTTCAGCCTAGATAGTCCTCAGTGAGTGCAAGTTAATGGAGGTGAAGAGCTGAAATAAACACTTGCGCTACATAAAAAGGCCACATAACATTTTAGTTTTTACAAGTACGCTATCGATCATGTGTCTGAGCTTAACAAAATTAGGCTAATGTCCTTTTTTCTTAAGCTCCGAGTATACTCTCCACGTCTGCTGTGGTCCGCTTGGGTCTGATGGGTCCACGTGACATAAATTTGGTCACCAAGGGCGAGGGTCCGTGCATATGTTTTGATGACTGCGTGGATTTTACCACTAAGCCTTTACAGTGCACTACACCAGCTGAGCATGAGTCCCAGCCATGGAAGGCTGCTTGGCTGTTGTGGCTCCAGCTGTCAGTGTCTGCAACAGGCTTTACAGTGAAGCTAATTTTACCCATAAAATGCTAGCATGTTGCTTGGTCCGTTAGGATGGTAACTAAACAATTTTTTTATCAGGCTAATGATAATAGTAATGCTAATAGTTTTACTTTTAAACTTGGTTCTGTCTAAAACTGCTGTTCGTTCTTAACCCTTAAATCGATGCATTAAGAATGGTCATTTATTTATTTTTAATTTTTACCTTTCACAGCTATGGACTACTCCATGCAGCTACTGTCAAACACTCACCCCACCCCCGTGAAGAGAAGCAGTGGTTCCCTCCGACAGGTACAGTATCACTTTATTGTGCATACCTTGTCCAACTCACTTCTTTATATGAGCACATTACTGAGAAGTCAGGGAATTATGGCTCTGTTTGCTTGCTGTATGGTGTGCGTACCTTCTGCATGTGTGTGGTTTTAGGAAGCTTAAAGAAAGTGAAGTCTTCTGGAGCGAACAAATAATATCCTTTTCTGGTATTTGGGAGGCTGAAAAGCTTTAGGAATACACCACACCCTCTGTTGAAGGTTTAATGTGTGTGGCCATAGGTGTGTGTTTTCTCGACGTGCGTGTGTGCTTGTGTGTGTGTGTGTGTGAATGTAGTGCGACTCGTGTTTGCACGGCAGGTTCTCAAGCAGGGATAGATCAACATAGCTTAAATAAACAAAAGGGAAGAGAGGAGGAGGATAACTTGAAGACAAAAGACTAAAAAAAATACTACAAAGGTGTGACAGATCTGCTCCGACATGCCAAATGTGCCGTGCATAGCTGGAATACACGCACACCCTTGGCCTTTGCGGTTTCACCTGAATATGTCGAAGTAGCCCCACCCCTGCTCATCTGCTCTTGCTGTGTTTTTAGGAAGCAAGTCAGCCCTTGAACCTGACCTCCAAGCCCAAGGGTCTGGAGCTGGGGAAGACACCCAGTCCACAGAGCCTGGAGCTGGGATCACTGGCGCTGCAGGGGGCATACAGACCCAGAGATCTCCAGAGAGAGATCTCCCACAGTCCACCACGATCTGCGCTCAGTGAGTTGCACACAGTCACACTGCTTTGCATGGTAAAGCATTAAAGCATTTGACGTTAACCTGCAGCACATCATAATTCCTGTAGATCTATTCACTGTTGATTTAAGGAGACTGAGCACAACGAACATAACTTTTTTGACTTTAGTGCGACAAACTAAGCATTAATAAAGGACGCTCAGATACTCATAAACAGTTATTCTCTATTTTGTATAAAATACAGTAAATACTGAGCAAGTGGCTGAAATGAATTAAAACTTTGTGCAGTCGTCTTTTTCCACAAGAGGATGATTGCATTCTTCAACTGTCATTTCCAGCAGCAGGATATGAAACTAATCATCATCTGTAGGTGACTGTTCATAAGATCCGTGATGTGTTTCTAGAGGAGGTCTTCTGATGAGAACTGACACTTTACCTTCCTCTGTCTCATTTTCTTTTCCTTCATCATCATAATTATCTTGGTCCTCATTTTGTGCTCTCCTCTTCGTGCTTTGTTTTTGTCTGCAGGTTTCCTGGGAGACGGCGACGTGGTCACCCAGGCTATCCACGATGCCCAGCAGCTCCTGAGGAGCCACGGCAGTGCGGGGCGGGAGAGGGACCGGGAGAGAGAAGTTGGTGGAAAGCCGGTGAGCTAATGTTTAAACTCCAGTTAGAGCGGTGTGTTCGAGCCACTTTAAGACACGGACTTCGTTCTGGAAATTGCCATTGTACATACTGTGCCATTTTTAGGTTAGGTTTCACTGTAGGCTATCTCTAGTAACACTGTGGCATATAGCCTACAAATGCACAAAACACACACAAAGAAACTTAATACGTGTTTTGTGTCATAGCATTATCTCAGTCTCTTACCTGAGAATTCTTCACATCACTTTACAGTGTTTCCCACACATAGACTTTACTTAGGGCCCACCCAGGTATCCTGAAGGCCACCCAAGTATATTTTGCAATTTGTTTTCATTTTTTCGTCTGTCCGAGACCACATGAATTTGTACTGGGCAGTCAACTCAATATTATTTTTTAAATGTGTCTCTGCTAGCTAGCTACAAAAGTGCTTCCATCCCAGTGTTTTCCTATGGATGGGTTGCCTTTGTGAAGTCTAGATCAGCGGTCTCCAACCCCCGGGCCACGGACCGGTCCGTGAGTCGTTTGGTACCGGGCCGCGAGTTAAGGCTCGGGTGTGAAATTTATGGTTTTCAGGGTTTTTATTGTTTTTAAAAAAAGAAAAAAAGTTTATATCGTTAACTCCCTGGGTTTTTCCCCGTGTGTTATGAATAAATCTTTTTTTTTGTACTGGTACTGGTTTTATTTTGTTGTATTTATTCGCAATACCTTAAAGGCCGGTGCGTGAAAATATTGTAGGACATAAACCGGTCCGTGGCGCAAAAAAGGTTGGGGACCGCTGGTCTAGATCATAGACCTGCCCCCGTTCTGGCCACACGGGGGCAGTAAAAACATGTCGCAGATTAATGTTGCTTTGGTGATATCCTTCCACATATTCCTTTGTCATAGTGTGTTGTTTTTTTCCAGTGTTGCCACAGAACCATAGTCATAGTCATAGAAATCTAAATATTAGCTATCTTTTAGTTCTGTATGTCTCCACCAACTTCTGTCAATAATAAATAATTAATGAACTTGTAATTTACAAAATAAACATCTAATAAATAAAACTAGGGACTGAAATCACAAATTCTGAAGGATAATTTTTCCTAACGCTTCTGACTGGCTTATAAGTGTGGATTAAAAATACATATATATATATATATATATATATATCCAATATACGCTAACCTTTCAGCAACATTCGCATTCAGAAGTTTTTTAAGAACGCAGACCACCTGCCTAAGGCCTGAGTCGAGGCAGGCTGGCGATCACCTCATAACCACTGGTTGCTGGAAGTTGCCAGGAGGTTGCCAATCGGTCTTTAGACCTGTGTGTCCCTCTCTTTGTTTGTTACAAGTAGCTGATATATTTATCCAGTTCCACAACCCGATGTCCATCTTTTATTTAAAATCTATGAAATTAAACCAGCACACCTTCATAATGTTGTACAGAACTGACTGTGTTTGTGTGCTTAATCACACCACTCAGTTTACATTAGCTGTATTAAAATAAATATATGGACTCCTGATGTAAACGGTGTATTGCTCTTTCTCTGGTCGACATTTAGAGGTTGGTTTAGGGTTACATGGTGCTGCGCTCCTCCTGAGTATCCAATAGATCCGCACCCACATGCAGAAGCACATTATTACAGCTTAAGTCAGCTGAGTAAACTGTAAACTGCTATTTGTAAGTGCTACTAGACTATCTCAAAATTGCATATTTTGTTCGAGAACCTGCTGTTTATTTTGTTTTGCTTCTTGTGAAAATGGTCTTCTATTGGGTTCTTACGTTTTTGTTCTTTAAGGTGGCTAAAGCTTTGGTCTCTGCTCCGTCCTAAGCAACAGCTGTTGCAGCCTTACAATACCACAAAGGCCTTAGTGTGGCATTGACTGAGCCACCTGCCCTGTCTCTTTGTCCACAGTAATACTGTAATCTGTGGCTCTCCTCCTTCTCCTCCTCCTCCTCTCCTCCATTATCCTGCTCCATCTCGCCTTGGCGGCTGTGTTAACACCAATACTGTTGACTGACCTATTTTGGTATTGCGCTTCACACCGCTGCATGTGGATGAATAGCGTTTTACAGCGCGGGGAATGGTCGACAGATAATACGCTGATGGTGTGGTAGTTTTGCAAATTCAGAGTTGCCACATTCCCGTCCCTGCCTTGTCTTCTTTACCTTTCCTCCCTCCAACAATAAATACCATTCTTCCTCCTCCATAGTGTTGTCATTTCCTGTCTTTGCATTTACAGCTCTGCATTTAAGCAGCAGCTGATATGGTGAGCGTGCCATGTCTTTACCTTAAATAGCACTCCAGTGTAACACGTGCGCCATGAACACTCCTCTTCGACATTAGGTCACCTTTTTTTTTTTTTTTTTTTTTTACTGCAGTGCAAATTTAAATCGTCTCTTTGTGCTGGTGTGTGAATATTTGTGTGACTTTAGACCATTTCTGAGTTCATATGTCTTTGTTTTTTTTTTTTGTTCTTTTAATGTCTGCAGGATTTTAAGGTTTCTCCTCGCAATGAGAGGATGTCTCAGAGTGAGAGAGGTGAGAACAGACATGGCCTGCCGTCCACTGAGGACCACCTCAGCAGTGATTCTGAGGGTAGGCATCCTGAAAAAGTCTGTTTAATGCCTATCTGTGTTTTGCCAAGTTGTTGTTGTAATGAGACCAACATTTGTTACGCTGCCCTGATAGCTTATTATATTATTATGGTACCCATCCATTTATCCTTGTCATTATATTCAAATATTTTATTTTAATTGATTGAGTCATATAATTTTATTAAAATTAGCATTTTTTTCTCCATGGAAGTAGCATGCAGTATAACCTGTTTAGATTGACCTAGATTAGATTGGGGTGGCTTTAGCTCGGACGGTAAAATAGGTCATTTGCTAATCAGAAAGTTGGAGTTTTGCTCCAGTCTGCAAGACACTGGACCCTAAGTTGCTTTTTGATGCGTTCATCAGAGTGTGAAAGTGTGTGAATGCTACATAGAAAGTGTTTAAGTTGAAAAAGCATAGAAAAAAGTGCTTGTATAAATGTGTATGAATGTGTGAATGAGGTATGTTGTATAAAGTGGTTTGAGTGCTTAAGTAGAGTAGAAAGGTGTTATAGAAGAACCAGTCCATTTACCATTCAACAGATTGCTAGCAGGCATGAGAAAGCTAGAGAAGCCACAAAGTGAACACTGAAGAAGTTTCTTTGAAGTCAATTCAGGTTTTTTACATGGCACCAAAACACCTCAAGGCACTTTGTGCTTATTTGCAAGGAGTCACCACAAGAGATATTAGATTTGGCAGATTTTTGCACCAATGTAACCCCTGACACAAACTCTAAAAGATTAATGTCTCCTTCTGAACTCTAATCAGGAACCTCCCACATGTTAGGCATATGCCTATATCATTACACTATAGAGCTAATCCACACAGCAAGTGCTAACTTTAATTTTAGCACTAAAAGGTGCTAATTACCTAGTGTGACTTTAACTTGAATTCTGGCTCCCTTTTGTCCAAGCTAATAGTCTGCAATACTGCCCATTAAATTACCTGTGTTATCTCTCCCCTAAGCGCCACTGTCAAAATCTAGCTAGCTAAATGCTCATCTGCATTGCCTAGAAGCAACCAGGCAAGCTCATGTATGCAAGCTAATATTAGCTTACTTCCATATTGGAAAAATACTAATCAAAGGCATTACTGTCACTCAGATGTTGATCTCGGTAAAGCAACCACTTGGCTAAATCAGGAGAGCCTGTTTAATGTTGTTTGTTTCTGGGAAATAGCACGATTAGCAGAAATGTTTTCTTCCAAACATGCTTTATTAATGTGCCATCAGAATATGGCACAGACATTTAAAGATGAAAATACAATATCCAAGACCTTCAGATTTAGCTTCATCAAAGTAATAACCTTATCTTTGTAAAGCTTAGTAACTCCTGCCTTTGGTTTAAACGTCAGGATGGAGAATGTGAATCATATGAAATTGGATGTTTGTGGGTGAAGAGAAACTTTCACCAATTTTAGTGTTGCAAGAAAAAAAGGTTAATATTCAGACATGCACCACTTACAGCAAGAAACAAATAGCTATTCCTCTATATATTTGTAACATATTTACAAGCCAGCCTGTACCCTTATTTACTGTAGGTACCCTGAACGTTTCGGTCCCAGGCGGCTACGCTGAGGCACGGCCGCCTCCCTCTTCAGGCCACATAAAGAGACCCATGAATGCCTTTATGGTGTGGGCCAAGGACGAGCGCAGGAGGATCCTGCAAGCTTTCCCTGACATGCACAACTCCTCCATCAGCAAGATCCTGGGTGAGAGCAGCACTGGTTAGGGGTGGGTTTATGTCTCTATTCTGAGACCCTGCCTGGCACATGTGAGGCAGTAAAGACCCACCTGCTTCTTCACACACACACACACACACACACACACTCTCACACACACACACACACACACACACACACACACACACACGGGCATGAATCCCTTTCCCTCAAACAAACATTTACATTCCTTTGTATTGTAGAGAGTTTGTGTGTCTATCTTTCACACAGACACACATAAAAACCACTAATTTGCTTAAATACATAGTACTGATTACTTGCCTAATACTTATCTTTCAATGCAAAAAACATAGTTTTGACCACAACCCTAAACATGCTGCTTTTTGACCTTGAATTATTTCAAAGTGTTTGCTTTTGAATAACCTTTATGGAAGCATCAGGTAGTTTGTGGCACAGAAACTAATAGGTAATTCTGCCTGTCACCATATACTATGAGTTAGCTTTAACCAGTCAGATTCAATTCAATTCAATTTTATTTATATAGCGCCAAATCACAACAAAAGTCGTCTCAAGGCGCTTTATATCAGTGAATGTGAGAGAGCGTGATCGAGATAGTTAGTTAAAAAACGAAACGGGAAAGAAAACACGAAGAAACGGGGCTTTGCATATCATGAGATTTAGATGTGTGGATCTTTTTGAGGGCAGCATCAGTACAGTCTCCATTCACTACAATTTGATTTATGTTCTCTGTAAAGAGAGACTCTTTACTAACCTCGTATTTTAACAGGAACTTTCAGTGTTAAAAATTAGGGGCATGACTAAGTCAAGTCTGAACACAAACGCATATTTTTAGAAATGAAGTGAAAGAATGGTTAGAAAGGAAAGATGAGATTCTTTGGAACTTGCTGGGGAATCAGCAGCTTTTTAGGTTTTCTTCAGTCTTGAGGTAATCCTTTGAGAGTTACCAGTAAATGCAATAATAAAGAAACTTTCCAAAATGTAAAGGAACACGTGTATGACGTCTGAGTCTAGGTCATCAGCATAGACTAACCCTTTATTTTGGGTGATGGCCCAAAAATGTGAATGTGTCAGTTAGAGTAAATTTCTTTTTTACTTTATTGCCAATAATTGGGAGAATAAAGTAATAAAGGCAAAAATGACACATTCTGGTTGTCTGATGTTAGTGTTGGGCTCATCACCAGTGATGAATTAGACTGCAGAGGTACCAGAATTAACGGCCTGAATCTTTCACCAATTTTACTTTCTCTTCTTAAGAAAGACTTAAAAATAGTAGCACTAATGTCCCCCGCTGTGACGAACCAAAAAAGAAAATTGCTGTATTTAGGTAGGACTGTAAAACCCCGATAACTAAACCTCATAATTAAGAGATATTTTTGCTAATATCCAGAAGGAGGGCTACTGCAGCCTCTTTTTGGTTATATTTTGATGTTAACACTGTAGCAGCGTCCTTGGGAAGACTCAAATAGGAAAACAGCTAGCATCTAAGATAAGTGAATGTTGATGGGAGTTTAAAGGTGCATAAAAAATGAATAAAATCTGCTTGAAACTTTTTGTCGAAATGTGAATGAATGAGAACAAAAATGAAACCACGTGGGCCCGACAAGCATTTTAAGCTTCCTCTCTTGCATAACCATTCTGTTAATGGATTAACAAAAGGAGGATCCGAATGAAGGACAATGCAAACCGGATACCAAACAAAAGGGCAAGCTTTCAGCAGCTTACTTAAACTTACAGCAGAGAACAATGAGGGGGAAGAAAACTCCAAGGTTGGGTTAATCGAGAAACGGGAATCCAGGAGAGTAAACAGATGGAAAAACTGAAAGAGTGACAAAAAGACTGAAGGTGAGACGGGATAAATAAACAGGGATCTAATTGGGAACAGGTGGGACAATGAGGGCAGGGCTGATGATTACAAAGAAGGGGAGACAAAAAGGAAGTAAAATAACAAAAGGTGTGCAAGGAAAGATAATTACCAAAGTAAGACAACATGTAGATGCAGGCAGAGTAGCACATAAAACACGGAACAAATGCTTCAAAAACCCCACAAGAAATGAAACATGGCGAGCCATGACAGCTTCTGCTGCTGGAGAACATGAACTCACTCCTTTGTGTTGATGCGTCTTTGTCTGTAGGCTCGCGGTGGAAAGCCATGTCTAACCAGGAGAAGCAGCCTTACTACGAAGAGCAGGCGAGGCTGAGCAGGCAGCATCTGGAGCGCTACCCCGATTACAAATACAAACCCCGACCCAAACGGACCTGCATAGTGGAGGGACGGCGGCTGCGGGTGGGCGAGTACAAGGCCATGATGAAGAGCCGCCGGCAGGAACAGAGAGGGACCTACGGGCACAGGTAGAGTCTGAGCGGCTTTGAGAAACAACTTGCGAAAGAATTTGTCCCTGGCAGAAAAACACTGACAATTCAATCCCCTGACAAGAGTTTGTGCTGCACCTCCACACACTGGAGACAATGCTTGCAGCTCTCAAAGCCCCCCCTTTTTATCCTCTTTTATTCTTGAAGACACAAACAAAAGTGGAGTACTGCAACTGCAGCTGGGCTGTTCACTGTGTCCTCGACAATGAATAGAATCCCTCTCTATTGGTCCCTCTAACTCCTTCTAGTTAAGCTGGAGGAGTTGGAGGCTGGAAATGTTAACAGTGGTTGTTTTGGAGTGCTTTTCTGTTTCACTCTTGTTTGTCTTTGCTTTAGCACATGTAGCCTCTATTAGGCTCTTTATAGAAACAAAACATCAATATCAGGGTGTCACACTGGCCTAAAGCTTCAATCCTGTTTCTTTCATATTGAAGACACTGGTAGACTGACTGGCTCGTATACTTATGAAGGAGAACAATACCGGCCTAATGTGCCATTGGGTTTTACCATTTTAGCGTTAAAACAGCTCTAACCTGTTGAGGCCTGGGCTCCAACAGGACCTTTAAAGGTGCTCTGTGGTGTCACGCACCAAGATACCAGCAACAGAACCCTTAACTCCTGTAAACGGAGAGGTGGAGTTGCTGCGGATCAGACTTGTTCAAGCACTTACCCTTAGACTCGGTTGCTGGTTTAGGATCTGTTGACAAGTATTCGGCATGGCCGAACGGGAGCGCTCCGGGAGCCTTGCCCACTCGGAGATGATCCAAAACAACGATCTTATATTTGTCAAAATTTTTTAAACCATTAAAGGTGGTTTATTAAAACATAGATTACAAAAAACAACTTACTGCCATGAAGCATGACTACAGACGCTTCACCCAATCAGCGCTTGTGATGTTGAAACAGATCGGCTGCCATGGCAGCAAAACATACACACACGCATACAAACAACACAGACGTGAAAATGTAACGTCCAGTTTTTAAAATATATGCATTTTACACTCAGGTGTTACAGCTCTCATGATATTGTAATCTGTGTTTATATATACTGCCTGCTTAGCACTACCTAAAAAACCAAAGCTAAGCTAACTCTTAGCTAAACAACACTAAACATATTTGGTTTGGAGGGGGATTAGCACAAATATCTAGCTTTAGCTAATAAATTAAACACTCTACTTTTTGATGTTTAGCTGGTTGGTGAATGGTTGCTGCCAATCACTATCTAACTGATTGCCAAGCCCCATTCACACAGGACTAGAGACCTGCCACTAACACCAGTAACCACCGTTTCCTAAGGGATACTGTGTCAATCCGGTTGTTCAGTGATGACGCGACGAATCCTACTTCCGGGTCTAAAGTAGTCTGCGTTTAATATGGCTTTTGTGTTGTTAACATGTTTAATGTTTTGTATTTTCTTCTATTTGATCTCAAAAAGCTCCTAAAACAGTCAGTGATCACTGCTGACCTCCCTTGGCTTTTATTACCACTAATCATTTATTTAAGCTCAGTTTTTAAAACCTTAGGATGTAACTACAGCCCAGCCCATGCAGCAGTATATGAATGACTAACCTCGTATTGTGGATGGATTATCTCAGTTGTTCTCCTGGCTGAAGTTTGGTCCTTTTACAGCATCCTGCCATGCAATTACATTTGTTCCTGACCACCGAGAACACTCACGTTAACTTTTATCGAGTGGGAAAAAAGTTAGCTTGTTTATATTATGCTAACATAGCTGTGTCGCTAGCGGTCACGTAGCACATCATTATATACCAGCTAGCCCAACTTCAGTAACCCTACAAACGTCACTGCTGTTTAGTTTTCTGTCTTCATTTATGCTGGAAGTGATAACAGAGCTGTACGTTTTAATTTGTTTCCAAAACCCCGCAGTCAGGACATGCTATATTGTATTTAGATAGAAGCTAGCGAGCTAACTTCCTGCTAACTTCTAACTCCGTTAAATGTCATAAATTCCGTTTTCATGGATGCCTGGATGTTAAACTCAATTGTTACACCTGGTAGAGCAGAACGCTGATCATTTTATTAAAGATGAAAGACTTTAGACAGTTTTTCAACTCTCAGTAATGCCATAGTGATCGTTTGATATATGGACCTGCAGCGGAGTTTAGGTCCAGACACGGCTAGTGACGTCAGACTGAACAACCGGATATCAGCATTTTAAAGCCCTTGATTAACTTTTTCATTGACAATAAATGCCTCAGAATATCTGAATATACGTGTCACTTCCTGTCTTTGCAGTCAAACGGAGCCACAGCAGATCCATTACCCCCACAGCGATGGCCAGTACCCGGGGGGTAGCAGCTCGGTCTCTGTCGCTACCATGCCTTTTCACCCCGCGCTACTGGAGCATTACCTGCCGCAAGTCCCGCCCATCCCTCGCAGAGCTGAGGGACAGACCACACCCACCTCTCTGCCTAGGGAGAGAGAGCGGGAACGCAAGAGGGAGCGACCGCCATACAGCGAAGGAGAGGAAAGTGATGGGGGAGAGAGGAGTGAGGGGGAACTGGTGCTCCTAACGGACTAAAGAAAGGCAACTGGTAGAGGAGCCAGGAAAAGGAAAATTAAAGATGAGGGATAGGATGAGAGGGGAGGGTAGCTGAGGTGGGCGGGTTGCTCTTTGATGAATGGCAGTCAGAGAGGAGGAATGGAGGATGAACTAAAGAAATGGTGAGGGAGTGTGTGAATGTAAAAAAGTAAATGTCATACTCACCCCGTTGTAAATTAGCCTATTCTCCAGTAAAACCTCGCCTACACAAACGCATAAAGGCAAGCTTTTATCATTTCCTGTTACACGTATCATGTCATCACATGCTTTGTGTCAAAACTTTGGAGTTATATTTATGAAGGTTTATCATTTAATCCCTTCTGCTTCTTGTTTTCTCCCCATGTTGACTTATGGCAAACAAAATGCCCCCACAGGGACTGGAATTAAAGCAGATTGATTAAAAGTTCAGCAGAGTACCTGTTTCCTCCTGTCAGACAGCTGAGGATCAGCCACTCTGGGGTTCAGTATGTCAGCTTTGCCACCTGCTGGAGAAGAGTGGTTATTACTACTGTTGCCACACATCCTATTTAAGCTACACCACAAATCAAACTGGAGGGATAAAATAATTTGGTGATTAAAGGTACATTTCAGCAGTTTTAGTACTGTGTGCTTTACGAGATTAAAAAATAATGCTCATATTCAGTAACAGTTGCCTCGGGCCATAGGATGGTTCAAGACGGAAACAAATATATCCTATATGCACACTGTCACTTAAATGTGTGTGCGTTTGTAACTCAGGCTTTATGTTAGAAATGTTCAGTCTTTAAGCTCATTACTGCACACAAATGCGATGCACTAAAAGTAAAGGATAAACAGCCTGCAGGAGGCTGAAACAGCAGGTAGGGCAGCAGCAGTATTAACATGTCAGGGGGAGAGATTCAGTCATCTGGCCAGCAGACGCTGCTGCTACCTTCCCTGAGTCTGTGCAGTGAGCGTTGAGAGTGCTTAACTCTCTCTGACTTTGCTTAGTCTAGCTAACGACAAAAAGCACAGATTGCGTTTGGCACACTCTTATTCTGCATTTGCACCAGTTGGAAAGTTAGCATGAAAGGTTTATCTCAACAATCCTTCTCCCCAAATTTGCATGATCCATGTTCGATCTGAGCTATCAGCCTTTCTACACATCCAATTGGCAGTTGTTGCAGATCTGCAAGTCACTTTGCAACTCACCTTTCCACAGGATTCTCCTTATATACTGAATCTGAACTAATCCATTGTCATATCTGCCGCTCTGTTGTGCACAGGGCCCTCCCATCTCTGGCTTTCTATGTATGGAGTGGAAGGGCGTCCCAGAATAGTGACATGCCATATATAAATATATATACGACAATCTTTTATGTGTATAGATTTATATAGCACCAGCCAAAAGCAAAGCTAGCTTTGAGCTGATAAAGCAGGACTTCATTCAGTGTAGTTCAGGACGTGCTTTTTTCAAAAGTCTTTTTCTGGTCAGACAGGCCTTGTTGCCCAAAAGTAACGTACAATTAATCAACACTGCAACCTCACCATCATCCTCCCACATCTCACTGTTAGTTTGAGCCATGCTGCTGTCATCGTGTGTCCATCAGTGCCCTCTCCACAGCATGGTGGGTTAACTTCAGCCTATCCTATTTTTTTTATACCTCTGTTTGCTTCTTTGCATGTTTACTGGATGTCGTGTTGAACACCTCGTATCTGTGTATCCAAATGTCTGCTGTGTTTTTCTTCTGAGATGCAGCCTCTCGCAGCATTATTATTATTATTATCATTATTATAACTATGCTTTTTTTTAATCTTTAAAAATGTTTGTCAATTTCATCTAAAAAGGCTAAAGTATTCCTTTCATCGTCTTTTACGTTCCTGTTCCTGTAACAGAGAGGCAGATCATCCCCAAAACTGTGAGGCTGTGTCCCTAATCACTGCTTCTCTCCTGCCTTAGATCTGTTATACACAGCAGTCAGCAGCAGGTTTTTGGACAACTGACCTTCATTTTGCATTGTTGAGTAGTGCAATGCCATTTAACACACACTCATACACATATGTGTGTGTGTGTGTGTGTGTGTGTGTGAGTGTGTATGATGTAAACTGAGAGTGCAGTATAGAGTAATTAGGGAGTGGTTTTGGACACAGCCTGTGCCTCAGATTGGAGAAAGAGCTGTTGTTTATTGGTACAAAACCCCCATTTCCTTATGATGGGAACAAATGTTTATCTATAAAAATTTATATATGATATTACCGAAAGCAAAAGGAAGGTAGATTTAGCAATGAGAACTCCAGACACCATAATCATCCCTGCATCCTTAGTAACATTTACTTCTCGTAAGCACTTACTAGTGTGTATTCTTTAGCAAGTTTAACATGCTGAAAAAGCAAAACTAGGTTTTTTGCAGTTAGTCTGCATGTAAAAGATGGACTGGGACTTTACCCATTTGTTTTGCACTTGTGACTGATGCCATGTTATTTCTTTTAAATTAGTAATTAGCTAATACTGGCAAGCTTGGCTAGCAAGTTACAAATATGGACAGGTGTAACTGACTGTTTAACACTGCCAATTAGGTTTTTTTAGGCAACCCCCCCCCCAAAAAAAAAAACAAAAAACAATGCCAATGCAGAAGACAAAAAAATACTAGGAACACTCACCGAAATGGAAGGACAGACTTCCACATGTCAGGTTGTACCATAGATCACATCTATGGTACACCATTTGTTATATACTTAAGTTAAAAGGATAAAAGAAACAAACATGGTGCCTCGAATTAAGTGGCTTCATGTCAATCAGTGTGGCCATACCCCAAACTTATTTCCTTTGTAATGCTAGTAATTTGGGTCTTTTAATGTGAAAGCATGTGGACTGACTTGCTTTTGGAGAAATGCTTACAGTAGCAGCTTTGCATACTCCCTCTATTCCTAAATCAACAGAATGAAGACAAATCTATCTTTTTTTTTAATACCTTAAACCAGCGGTCTCCAACCTTTTTTGCGCCACGGACCGGTTTATGCCCGACAATATTTTCACGGACTGGCCTTTAAGGTGTCGCCGATAAATACAACAAAATAAAACTAGTACCGGTACTGAAAAATAGAAGAGTTATTCATAACACACGTGAAAAGACCCAGGAAAACCGAGCTAACGATAAAAACGATGACAAAATAACGCTGAAAACCAATTAAAAACCCTGAAAACCATACATTTCACACCTGAGCCTCAACTCTCGCGGCCCGGTACCAAACGACTCACTGACCGGTACCGGTCCGAGGCCCGGGGGTTGGGGACCGCTGCCTTAAACCCTTAAGTTTTTAAGTAGCAGTAGTAAAGGTTAGTAAAGATTTTTTAATAGATGCGTAGACTAGAATGTGTTACAAATGTAGCAGCTCTATTCTTTGATCCACTGAATAAACTAAAGCTCGAAATAGACTTGCTACTTCCTGGAAACATGCCAGGAAGTAGCAAGACCCAAGGATAATTTAACTTTTAGACCCAAGGATAATTTAACTTTTAGACCCAAGGATAATTTAACTTTTAGACCCAAGGATAATTTAACTTTTAGACCCAAGGATAATTTTGGTGCCTTTGTTCTCATCATTCAGTGACCTTGTTGACTGAACATAAAGTTTGTGCGACTGGCTCAATCCTCCATTGGCTGACTGCAAAGTTGACAAATCAAAGTGGCAGACCTCCTTGGGGTTGGGACTTATTGTAAGGATGCTGGCTTTTGTGTACAGAGATGGATATCAATGACATGTTTAAAATGTTTATCCTATTTTAGTGAGACGTGATGAGGAGTCACCTGTCGTTAACCCCTGCTGATGTAAATATAGAAAGAGACTTTATTTTGTTTATAAGAGCTTGTGTAATTTAAAGGTGTACATTTCTCTATGTTTTCACAGTTTTGTGCTTTTTTTGTTGTTGTTTTTTCAAAAGATATTAAAATTGCTTGTGTTAATTGTGTCTGGTGTGACTTTTTTTAAACATATATATACATACATACATACATACATACAT